CGTGTGTGTGTGTGTGTGTGTGTGTGTGTGTGTGTGTGTGTGTGTGTGTGTGTGTGTGTGTGTGTGTGTTAGCGGTGATGTGTGTTCGCGTGCGTGTGTGATAGCATAAGAGCATACCTGACTGCGTTAACGGTGGAGGTGGCGCCTCGTCTGAGCGCGGTGCACTAGGTAGCAGCACCCGCGGCCGCCCCACGCGGGTCACTCTTCTAATGTTGCTCTGTCGCCTCGCTTGTTGTCTCCTGCGAGTCTGCGCTGATGCCAAGCCTGCCAGCATCACCACCACCAGCAGCAGCGGCAGCAGTATCCCGTGGCAACGCATCGTGACCGTGCTGCGTTAGAGGAGACACAAATATTTACACCGTAGTCCGAGATAATATGTAATACCGACACAGGGATGATATCATCTAGAAATCTTACTTGGTGAGATGGAGACAGGGTACCGTTGTCGTGGTAAGGACATTGGCTAGAGAGGGAGACAGAGGGGTTGGGGGCAAAGGGAAATAGACAGAGAGAAGACACAGAGAGAGGGGTGCAGGCATACGCTATCTACTACTGCATATATGGTGAATGCGTGTGTGCATATTTCTGTTTGTGCTTAATTATCATTGTCTGTGTATGTGCGTACCCCCCACGCATGCGCGCGTGTGCGTATGTGTCTGTGCACACGTGCGTGGGTGCGTGCGTACCTTTGTACGTACGTCATTACGCGAGTGCGTTAGTGTGTACAAAATCGTAAAAACAAACAATTAACAAGAAAATAACTTTCACAAGTTGGTATGGCAATCCGTATATGCACCTTGCATACGTGACTTGGATACGCTTCTTAGCCCGGCCTAGCTCACCCTTCCACCCGGTCACCCTTGCATTATCAACGCGGTTATGTAACGCGTGAGATACTGCGAAAATAACACGCTAGCCGCACATAGCGCCTCATGAAGTGTTTGTAAAACATGACACGAACCTGCGAGGTATTGCGTATATACGCGACATGGCGAGCGCGAGAGATCTAGTGCAAATCTCGAACTTCCTGTCCGATATAGAACATTACGTACGCAAGACAGTCCGTGCGCAGACGCAGAAACTGCGTTACGTAGTTTCTTCAAATTAGCATGCCATCACGTGGACGTGCGTGCGTACGTGTGCTTTTGCGCGAGCGCGTGTGTGTGCGTACGTGTGCGTTTGTGCGCGCGTGTGTTTGCGTACGTGTGCGTTTGCTCGCGCGCGTGTGTGTGTGCGCGCGTATACGTGCGTACGTGTGCGTTTGCGCGCACGTGTGTATGTGCGCGTACGTGCGTACGTGTGCGTTTGCGCGCGCGCGCGTGTGTGTGCGTACTTGCGTACGTGTGTGTGTGTGTGTGTGTGTGTGTGTGTGTGTGTGTGTGTGTGTGTGTGTGTGTGTGTGCGTACTTGCGTCTTTGTATAACTGTAGGCGCTCATCACAGGCTGTATGTGTTAGCAATAGCACTAGAGCAGGAAGCAGAAGATTTAGAGGTAGAGGCGGAGCGAGCGGGCGAGCATGAGGGAGAGAGAGAGACGCGCGCAATCATCAGCAGCAGTAAACCTGCTTGCACGAAACTATTAGAAAAGTTAACAATAAGGTCAGGTAATAACAGGGTATTAATACGTGTAAGCACAAGGTGCATAGCACGATGTATAAGAGAACGGGCGATAAAGAGAAATAGAGAGAGGATAAAAGAGGAGCAGATGAGAGAGGGAGATGGAATGCGAGAGGGAAAGAGAATGAAAAAGAACGAGGAATTGATAGGGGGAGATTGCGGACGAGAGAGCAGGGCGAGTGGCGGAGAGAGAGAGAGAGAGAGAGAGAGAGAGAGAGAGAGAGAGAGAGATCTAAGAGAACGATAGAGTGCCCAAAAAACTGATGAAAAAAAGAAATATTATAGTCGTAAATACCATTAGTGCATAACCGGTAATAAACTAGTAAACCAAAAAAAGAATGACTACACGACTCCGTGCTTCCCCAACGTCCTGCGTTACCATCGAGATGTCTCCCGGGCATCCCCCGTTGAGAAGTCAAGAACTTTCAAAGGGCTTCTGTCGTCAGTAACTCATCTCACATCAGATCAGGTTGCGCAGCATCGGCCAGTCATTGACGATTGATCGAGACGCACAGCGTCTTTTCGGTGCAACGCGGGTTAAGTTCGTTCGATTGACCTACCTTAATGACGTGACGTTCGAAGCAGAGTCACCACTCCCGTCCTCTCTCTTTCTTTCTTTCGCTCTTTTTTTTTCTCTCTCTGGTGTAGTGATAGCAACAGCAGCGGCTGTAGTAGTCGCAACAACGGTATCAGCAGTCGTAGCAGCAAACGACAGGCATCAAAGGTCTGACGATGGTGACGTTTGATTGATTGAACGCGATGTCACGGAGCGTCAGCACTGCACACACACACACACACACGATGAGCGTCAACAAAGCGCACAACAACACAAGTTTTTACGATTGAACGTATTAGTAAGAAGTAAGAGTAAACGTATACTAATTTCTCCTGCCTCCCGCCTCCAGCCTCGTCCCCGCGGCTGACACTCGGTTGGCGTCCGTTAGCACCACGTCTTATAGCTACGGCTAATCTGTAACGATACTGCTGGTGGCTACCGGAGACTGGAGCGCGCTCACAAACACACGCAGCGTATGCTAGTCGACTCTGACACACACACACGCGCGCGTACACTGGGTCAGGCGGCAGTGACTCCGCGAGTACGTGCGTGTGTTTGCGTGTGTGCGTGCGTGCGTGCGCGGGGGTGAGTGTGTATGGGTTAGTCGGTAAGATATAGATCTTGCCTACCTCTTCACGCACGAGTCGCGCCAGCTGCGCTATTTCTCTCGCTTTCTCTCTATCTCTCTCTCTCTCTCTCTCTCTTCCTCTGTTTCGCTCTCTCTCTCTCTCTCTCTCTCTCTCTCTCTCTCTCGCGCTCCCTGTCTCTCCTTCTCTCGGCCTCTCTCTTTCTCTCTCTATCTTTTTCTCTCGCTCTCTCTCTGTCTTTCTCTCTCTTCCTTTCTCTCTCTGTCTCTCCTCTACAACTTTCGACAGTTCACTAACGTAGCAATAGACATTAAAAGCACCTATAATTATTGCGATTTACACCTCTCACTTATAGCTATGTACATGAATGTCAGTTATAAATTTAATTTTTAATATGATTAATT